TAGGCTGGGCGCGAATGACCAGTCGTAAAAAGCACACACTCATAGACACTTCAGTTAATCGATGCACCCCCCAAGTACAACAAAATATCCGCTGCTAGGCAATACAAGGGCATGGGCGGATGAATTTGTGATAGGCTTAATATTTCTGTTACGTACCGAGGTCTGGGCGAGCGTTGAGTAGTTGTCGGGGACTATGAAAAGGCGTGGTTCCCAGTTGTTCAGAGAACTGATCTTCTGATTAATGGCCATTCTGTACAGAGCTCTATTCTTGTCGGCAAGGGCGAATTTGCGCAGCGCAAATAGGGCCATCAGGGAATCCTAGACGTAGAGGGAAAGAAGCTGACCAGTAACAGGATTCACAAGTAAATTGGTCTCAACTCTTCAAACACGCTTCACTGATTAATCATATGCCAGTAACAAAAATAATGCCAGATATCTCAATGATAAAACAGCTCGCATTGAAGATAACGGAATGCGATTCTAGGCCGTGTTCGATCGACCCGTTGTTTCATATCATATTTGCATTTCTTAATTTGCATTCAACCAGAATGCTGGCTCGAGGATGTTATAACTTGACAGGTACTGGACTGTGTAAGTCTGATGGTCTTCGTGGCTTGGAAGTTTGCCAACAGAGGGGTTAATGGGTGTGTGCTTGTATGGAGTAACTGACTGGCGGACTGAGAGTCAGGCTGCAATGGGTCCCTCTAACTGTGGCTTCTATGGCTTTCGTAGGATACGAGCCGGGTGTGGCGGCACGCTTAGGGGCGGCTCCGCCATGCCACCTGTACCTCTTTTTTCGGTCATGAAAACGGGCCTAGGTGATTATGCTACCACCAAAAACTAATACACGCGCAAGCCATCGTGGGGCACACGGTGGACCTCACCGGAACCGACAGTCAAACTTTCATTTGGCCTCGGCTCCTTGATTTGGGCATGCCTATTTTAGGACATATTCTAGAATTATCTTTAAGAATGAGGACTGCCTAACGGGAGACTCACGAAAGTGCTGGTGAAGCCGGCTACGTGATTTCTCTGAGAAGTTAACCAGTGCACCATATCCAACGCTTCGTCGACGGCAGGAGTCCAGGCATTGGTCTCCAGTTTGATGAGGAACATGAGCGCCGAGCAGACTACACCGTAACCGTCGTTGGGCCATTCCATGCGTGGATTCTCGATGCGTCTACCTGATTGGTCCATTTCCCACATTGGGGCAGGAATTCGGTAATTGGCGTAGTAGACGTGATCCTCTCTCAGTTGACGAAGTTCGATCTGGTTTAGAGCTCTGGAAGAGGGTGTGAGAAAAAAATACACTATTTTTAAAATATTCTCCAAAATGTTCAGAAAACTTTGCTTAATTCACTGAGACCAGAGGTTGGATTAACGAAATACGCAATAATGTGAACAAAATCGCTACTGACAGAAGAACAAACCCGTGGTTCAGTGGTTAGGGCATCTACCCAGCAGGTCACTGATTCAAGCCATAGTTGTTGATTGTGACTTGCTCATGACAATAAATAAGCCGGAAATTGCTATCCAGGTCTTGTTTGCCTTTTCCGTTATGGGTATTGTGTATTTACTCGCAGTTGATGTGTAACTGCCTGTGAAGGCTCCATTTTGAGCTCAGGACGCAGCGGGACAAGTATGCAATACGCAATAGGCGAAAAACCCCAAAACCACATATGAATGCATACGCAGAGAATGGCCGCCGACAAAAACAGGGAAGACTGGAATGGCCATTGTTGGTTTATTAGCCATCGTGAGCCATCCATACCCAATTTAAGATTCGTAACCCCCGAGGTTAGAACCTGCCATCTTCACTCATTGACTCAAATTGCGCTGATTTGTTCCGGTAACGTGATTGTTGAGCGTCATTTACCATAGTTCCGATATCCCCTGTCTTTGGCGTTTCCACCTTATTATCCTATACCCCAAGTCGTTATGCGGCTGTTCACGAGGACACTAAAATGAGCTTCAAGGCACAACAGGACAGGTGTTTTAAGTTTTTATAACCATTTAGAGAGGTTACATCAGAGTCTTAACAATGTCTTCCCTGACATACAATTCACTCGCGAAGAAGCAACAGGAGACATTTTCCCGTTTCTCGACGCCAGCGGGCAAAAACCGGATGATGGCAATCTCGCAACCCGCGTCCACAGAAAAGACTCCAGTGCCGAAATTATCTTCAGCTATGGGAGCAACCATCTTGCGACCTAAAAAAGAAGTTGCGTTCGAACTTTTTTATCGCGCTGATCGGTTAAAATAGAATTTGCCTACTTATACTAATTGTTCCGGCCCAACGGATACCCGAGAAGATTCGTGAAGAACTAGTATCGACGACAGAGTCAACCGAATGATCAGAGTTCTAATGGGGAAGTGGTGCAGAGCTAATTTTCTTCTTCGTTCTACATGCAATGAACTTCTTTAACTATCTCCAGACAACTAAACAAGTTTGGAATCTGCATAGTCCCCAAGTAGGCTTTCTCCCCACGTGCAGCATTATCCCGGGTAA